GTGTGTGTGTGTGTGTGTGTGTGTGTGTGTGTGTGTGTGTGGTGTGCGCGCGCGTGCGCTGCCCGGCCTGCGGGGGAGTTCCCAGTTTCCCTGGGAATACCCGCCGATGTCAGCCCGCCTGCCAAAACCTGGCAGGAGAAGAAAGCCAGCCCTCCAGAGTGGGTAGAGGGCCTGGGAATAGAGGTAGAGGGAAAACCAAAGTCCCAATACCCTCCCTTCGAGGTATGTCCTGGGGCCTAGACCCACAAATAGGATTGGGGAGACGGGCAAAAGTAAGATGACTGTATCCTAGATAGAAGGTGGCCACAGCTCTTCAGGACCAAGGTTGTGAGAACGGAGGGGTTTAGAACCTACCATGTGTGATTTCATTCATGAGATGGGTACATTATTGTCCCTGGTGTGTGTGTGTGTGTGTGTGTGTGTGTGTGTGTAATCCTCACCAGAGGATATTTTTTCCATTGCTTTTCAGAGAGAGTAGAAGGGGGAGAGAGAGAGAAACATCCATATGTCACATCCATTGGTTGCCTCCCACACGCTCCCAGACTGGGGCGGGAAGGGAGCCTGCAACGGAGGCACATGTCCCTGGCCAGAATCAAACCCGGGACACTTCAGTTCGAAAGCCGACGTTCTAACCACTGAGCAACCAGCTAGGGCTATCCCTGTTTTACAGTGAAATAAGCTAAAGCTGAGGGGCAAGAGCCCAGAACTTGGAGTTCAGAAGCCCTGAGTCCTGATTCCATCTTTCCACTCCCCTGGAATGACGTCGGTTACCTTCACAAACTCTTAGTGTCATCCCACGTAAAATAAGGACATTGCCCTCTTCGCTAAACTGCAGTGAGGATGACATATGTGAAAAGGCATTGCGTGTACTCAGTAGATACTAGTTTCCTTTCCTCCTTTCCTAAGGACTTGTCTAAGGTCACACTGCTGGCAAGCAGCATAGTGATCTTGGGGCTCCCAGGGGCCCTGATTTCTTCCACACTGCATCTGTCTCTGTGTCCTGAGCCAGAGCTTCATTTGCCTGAAGCAGTGGAGGAGCCCAGCAGCTGGCTCGGCCATGACGTGCAACTCCAGACACAGCTGTCAGCACCGAACTTTCCTAAATTACTCCCAGACACTGACCCTTGGACTCAGCTGCTGCTGTTGTCCAAGTTTACTGATCCCTGCCTACCACGAATTATCTTTCATGATCTCTCTTCAAAAATCTTCATCTCAGCGTCTTAGACTCTTGAGTCATGGCCACTGATAACCTGTGGCCCTCCTCCATAGTTGGGGTCAAGAGTTGCTTTAGAAAGACATTCAGAGGGAGAAGGGAGGTGGCCTACTTGTCATAAAACCCAAAGCCCTCCTGCAGAGAGTCATCTTTTGCAATGTACAGAAAAGAGCCAGGCACCTCAGACCCACTTCAGGCCAGGGACAAAATCCATTCTTTCCCTGTCACCCGTGTTTGCCCTTTTTAAAAAAATAAAACATGATCAAGAGGGAAATTCTGGGTGATAAGATGGAAGGAGGGAGCAAAGAGGGGGAAGAAAGCAAAACCAGCCCTTTCCACTGCACTGGGGTCAGAAGCACCTGAGCCCACTGTGGTTAGAACTGGGGTTGGGGTCAAGATTAAAGTTGACAGCCCAGCTGGGTGTGGCTCAGCGGTTGAGCATCGACCTAGGGTCCAGGAGATCGTGGTTCGATTCCTGGTCAGGGCACATGCCCAGGTTGTGGGCTCAATCCCCAGTCAGGAGAGTGCAGGAGGCAGCCGATCAATGACTCTCTCATCATTGATGTTTCTCTCTCGCTCACTCTCCCCTCCTCTCTCTGAATCAATAGAGATGTATTTTTAAAAAAAGATTAAAGTTGACAAAAGTAAATGTTGGGTTTTAAATAGGGCAGCACGGTATAGTGGATAAAAACAGACTTTGGTTAGGATTCTGAAGGCAGGTTCTGCCTCTGTCTTGCTGTGTAACCTTGGGCAGGCCATTTCATGTCTTTGGGGCTCGACATTTTCATATACAAAATGACCTTAGAGTCAAAAAGGAATGCACAGGTGACTTGGTAGAAAGTGTGATTTTTAGCCTAGAGTTGGGATTAAGCTTGCATCAGGATTGAAGACCTCCAAAGGAGAGCTTGTTGTAGCCATTCCTGAACGTGGAAGTCCAAACACTTCCGTTGCAGAGTCTGGGAATTTTCTCTCCTCCTGAATTTCCTCTTCCCACTTTTTCTTACCAGTTAGATGGTTGGATGTTTTCATTGACCCCTGGGAGCATCCTGGTAACTTGGGGTCGCTATAAGGGTCCTTTGGGGCTGAACAGAGACTGGAGACCTCACCCTCTTCCAAGTTACCATAGGAGATGGTCCCATGTTCTGCAGCAAAAGGACAGAGAAGGGCTTCATTAGGGACAAGTTCTTTCATGGGAAGTCCTATTTTCCACCCTTACGAGCCCTTACCTTTCTTTTCTAAGCACATTTCTGCTTTAAAATGTATAATTTTTGCTATAAAAATATACTTTTTAGTTGCAAGTAATACATAAGTATATACCTGTTGCAAAATGTATTTTTCCTTTCAAATTATTTCAATAGCCTGGCAGTGAGTCAAAATATGAAAAGAAGATTCAAACTTGCTCCCTTTAAGGGGAATGCTGCCATGATTGCCTTGCACAAGCATAATCAAAGGCAATGATGACACCAGATTCCAAAGAGCATGGGTGGTTAAGAAGGCTTCGAGGCTCACATTTTGAAGAGCTTGGTTTTGGAAAGTCTCAGAGGGGCAGCAGGAGACAGGAGAGATATGAAATTTAAGGGACCCTCCAAGGACAGGACAGGGTTTCTGAGCCATCAACACCTTAAAATGTTTCTTGATGTGATTTAGTGTTATTCTTGACGTGACTCAGTGTGATTCAGTGTCGAGAGTATTTGTCCTCTGGGGAGAACGGAGCAGGATGGGCTGAGCAGGTCTGTTGCCCTTTAGGGTCACACTTCCTTCAGGGTATAGACCCAGTCTCCCTGTTGTTCAGGTAATACTGGAAAAACAAGACCACACTGAAGTCAGCATTTCCTATTCTATCAGCATCTTAATCTTTGTTGCAAAATATTTAAACACAGAAAACTTCATAATCCCATTCCTTTTTTTTTTTTTAAATATATCTTTATTGATTTCAGAGAGAAGAAAGGAGAGGGAGGGAGAGAGAGAGATAGAAACATCAATGATGAGAGAGTCATTGATTGGCTGCAGCCCACAACCCGGGCATGTGCCCTGACCCGGAATCGAACCCTGATGGCCTGGATCCTAGGTTGACGCTCAACCACTGAACCACGCCCGGCCAAGCCCCCATTCCTTTTTCACTCACCTCCCCACATATTTTGCCCTTAAAAAAAAGCATAAATAGGATTTAGTATCCATGTTGTTCAATGATTTCTTTTTTTACTTAATAACATGTCTTGGATATCTTTCCATGATGCCATATATAGATGTGCCACTCTCCTCTCCTTTTAACTGTTGCATAGTATCGTTTTCAGTCTTTTTCTTTTTTTCTTATATCCAGCGGAGCCAGGTCTTTAAGGTCCCTATACACTCCCGTATTCCTCTGTCCCTACCCCATTTCTACCCCTAGTGCTTGGGAAGAGAGGAATGTGGCTCTGGTCCAAGTGAACATTGACCTGAGATTTCTGGCCCAACCTAGATTGATTTCTCCTGGGTAGGAATCCTACTGTCATGTGTGTTTCCCTTCTTGTTACAGGCTGCAGACCATCCTGCCTGGAACAGGGGGAGAGATGACTCAGTCCTTAGAAGAAGTGCCATTTCTAATTCTCAGCCTTCCCCCTACACACACACACACACACACACACACACACACTCACGCACGCACGCGCACACACACACACACACACACACACACACATCCAGAACCACATCATGGGAAGGAAAAAGTACTGGGGGCCTTCTGCACAATGAAATTATGCGGAGCATCCTGGAATTAGCGTCTCTATGGTGTAGAGACATTCGCTGGCCTTTTCCCCAGCAGTCTGCAAAATAAAGAGAACAGGAGAGGATGTGCCAAAGAGTCAGGATCAAGGAAGCCAGAAGTTTTGGCCGGGTGGTGCTGATCTTTCCAAGCTGGAGAGAGGAGCTAGGCATCTTCAGAGGTCAAGGAGGGGTCAAGGAGAGCCAGGAGGGCTGCAGCCAGGGAGCCAGCTGGCTGAGGAGGGGAAAACAAGGGAATTGGAACACAGTTACTCCATCTCTCCCCAGCTTCTTCATCTCCCGGATGATGGCACACTCAGTATAAGAAGTGTGACCACCTCTCAGGGGAAAGAATGGCTATGGGAGAAAACTTTGGTTCTTGGATTTGTAAAAAGCATAGAAAATGGTCAAGTTATCAACTGCTGAGGACTTAACAGTGGCTACCATTTATTGAAACCAGAACTGCTTGATGCAAACTTCATGTCTTAATTATGATTTATTACTTCCGTCTCATTCAAAATCATAGTATTAATTCCTTATTGGGTCTTAAAAGGAGGGGGGAAGGATAGAGTTTCTTCTGAGACCAGATTGACCCCTCTAGAAATAAGATCCTGCACACAACTTACTCCCTCTCTTTCCCTGATCTAAGCTGGACAATGACATCACATTGTGGAGGTTGTTTTCTGAAAAGAACCCAAGCCAGATTTACAAGAACAACATTCAGACAGTGTGACTGAAGACGACCATGGCCAAGTGACCACAGCACACGCCCAGCAGTGCTGAGAACACTGCTGGTCCCTCAGCACTTCAGGCTGACTCATGGTTGTTGTCAGGACCAAATGTCAGATGCCAAGATTGCTTTTGCCCTTTCTCCATTCCTAGACTGTCCAATGAAACCATCCCCAGGAATGCTTCTATATCTTCTCAGTGTTGGGGGCAGAGATGGTGATCATGCTCTGTTGACCATGATTGTAAAAGGAGGGAGAGCACCTAATAGGAATAGGACCATAGTTGTTTAATGATTTTTTGTCTTACTGACTATAGATAAGAAGTTTTCCTACAGACCTTAGGAAGCTGGAGGATGTGCTGCAAAAAGAAAAACAGAGCTGTAAAAAGATGAGACACCTTGGGGCCTGGATGAGTCCATTGCTTAGAAAAGAAAATGCATTTTGAGAACAGACTAAGGACAGTATGAGCTTTGATTTGGGTGTTGTCCCTGGAGCCTGACTGCCCTTCGGGAGTTTGCCTCAGGTCCAAGGAACGGGCTGGAGGAACTGGGTTTTAACACCATTGAAAATTAACTACTTTGTTATGGATTTCAAGATCCTGGAAGGAAACACATGACCACAGGCCCTGCAGCCATCCTTCCACGACCACCCCTCACCCCTTGCATGCAGCCCTATATAACCAGCCAGGTAATAAGGAAAAGGCAGGGCAGATTTTATGTGGACAAATCCCACTGCTCTCCCATTTTGTTGGCAGTAATGGAATAAAAGCTAAAATATAATTCAAACTTGTCTCTGCTTAATTGGCTGAAGTAGAGACAGGCAGCCTGGACCCACTGTGTCCGATTTACCAGCACTCCAGGAGGCTGGCTGTTGTATAACATGGGGGTGCTCCGAGGATGCCAGGCAGTATGCTCAATGCTTCATGCAAAATGTTTCATTTAAACTCACAACTCCGTTAAATAGCAACCCACTTTACAGATGAGGAAACTGAGGCTCAGAAAAGTTAAGCTACTTGTCTAAGGCGATGCAACTAATATTGATACACAGGTCTTCTTGATGCTGAAGCCTGGCACTTTACCTCTGCTCCACAATACCTGATGGAAGTTTACTTGCTAGCCAACTTGCTAGACAGAGCCAAATAGGCAGGGATGAGGAACAGTGGCCAGAAGGGCAGCCAGACAGGGCTCCTCATGGCACAGAGGGCTTTCTCCACTCAGTACAATTCCACTCCTAACTATACTTGCTTCACCTACAAACAGCAGTTTTTCACATCCTTCCCCCCAGACCTTAAGGTATTAGATCAGCAATTTTCAACCAATGTGCCATAAGAATTTTTTTTAAATGCAGAAGCTTGCCCTAGCTGTTTTTGCTCAGTGGTTAGAGCATTGGCTCATGGACTGAAGGGTCCCGGGTTTGATTCTGGCCGAAGGCATGTACCTTGCAAGCTCAGTCCCCTGCCCTGGTTGGGGCATGTGTGGAATGCAACCAATTAATGTTT